GATGATAGTGAGAAATTAGTTGTCGTACATTTTTTACATACTTCTCAGTTGATTTATCAATATCTTCTTGATCTTGAGCCTCTTCCTTCCGGACGATTATTTTACGTGATGAAATGTTATGATGTCTCTTAATCTGCTAGCCAGTGATCTGATGCTTAAACCAGCTCATAATCAAGTTCACGAGCTGCTGTTGACCTCAGCGTCGTAGGTGAGTGTCATGAACTGGCAAAGAGTCTTCACGTGCGATGGTAAGAAGTTTGAAAATGAATTCATCGACTGTTTTCGTGTTACGTGCTTTTCTAAATATTTCGGAAATGTGAAACGTAGGACTGATGTCGAACGTTCTTAAATCTGTTGTGCACTGTTTTTCACGATCGACGACGTTTGCCTTCAGAATGAGTTTCCTCGGCAAATGCTACAACTTCTTTCATGTACTGTACAGAATAGTTTCCTAGTACGTGCTGATGGTCCTTGTCTTCATCTTTCCAGTCGTGTTCATCCCCTTGTGATACGTTTCCACTGCTGGTACCTCCCTCCTTCTTTGTAGCCATAGGATCATCTGAATGTAGTTTTGATCCAATGTTGTTTCTTTATCATGTTCGACCCCACCAGTCATTTAGAGATGTGATAGTCTCTGTTAAATATGTGTCTAATTCATGTTTATTTGGCGAAACTGCTGTCTTTTTAAAATCTAAGCAACATTAATTTTTCAAAGATTAAATCAATTACGAATAGAAATTAATCGTAAGTTATCAATGTTAACCCGCCAACAAATATAACAGTATTAATGGCTTAGTATTAATGGCCATAATGTTCCAGGTACACTAAATGGAGCGAGAACACAATCTCAGAACTGTACTGAATGCCTTTCAGATATTGTTCCATCATCGTGTCAACCACAGTGTATGTCGTTCAATGTTAGTAGTCATATTAATCATTCATACGTACCATGCCATTAAATCCAACAATAAATTCATTCGTCTACTACGATCCGTCAATTGATCCCACATCTCTATGTTCTTTACCTGTGGTCCATTACTCTTCATCCTTGTTAACAAATGGAACTCGTAATCAACTATTTCTTCTTGTAGAATAAATCGAAAACGTTTTCTAATTCGCTATCTCCGCAGTCGAAATTATTTTCAGTAATCTTGTATAATGTGCAAGGATTGTCATCACGTCTAGCGGAGGGTCAGTGTCTGATTGATTTAAAACAGCCAACGGTGGTGATATGTGCCTAAACCGGTCCTTTATCCTGTGATAATTTAGCTTACTATTTTCCATCTTAACGGATGGTAATAATTCTAACTAAGGAGTTTTAACACTAGTTACTACATCTCTCTCCTCTCAACTAGCAAAAAAATAAAAAGATATTTTAATCATTTCCGTCTCACTTGGTTTTTTTGTGCATTTGTCCGGTATATTGTTCACGTTTACTTCCACTGCCCAATGAACAGATGAATTCAGAATAATAATATAAGTTCTTCTCCAATATTGTTAATGGGAGGCGTTAGTTCTGGTTCAGATTATGGGATTGTAAAAACATCGATAATCGACGTCGACTTTTGGAAAACTTTTGTACGGAATTGAATCTTTATATTGAATTAACACGAGAACCCACATCAAAACGTTCTTCGATTATCATTAATCTCGTACGTTCCTCTGATCCTGTTCAAAATGTATCTGTTATCAATTACCGTACAAGCGGTCATTTTCCAGTTCTATTCGAAGGTCTATGGTCAACCATTGTTGCATCGGGATTCAAAGATATTCGTTGAAGTGTCTATGAGGTCTTTTTAACTGTGGTTCATCCATACTTCATGCATTTTTGTTATCGACTACCCACAGAATTATACTTAACTTTATTCTCATATTTCATTGAATCATTAGTTTCTAAATGTACGCGATTCATCCCAATTTCATTCTATCGCTGTTCTCGTCCAGCGTAGTTACATCATGAGATATTAGTTTTGCATAATCTGTGAGAACATTTTCGTTTTCCTAGCGCACAACTTCTACCATGAGATAAGCAAGAAATAGATGATGAATTTGACCAAGCACTCGAAATACACCAAGTCCTTAACCGTTAATAACAACGTATTAAGAAGGTTCTACGATAATTAAAAGTCTTAAAACAAAAAGTGTCTTAAGTATTAGTGACACATCCAATCATTCATTAAAACATATACCGGATGGATTAATTGCTATACTGGCGGCCTGAAAACAGGAGCATACCCAAAAATTGACGAACTAAGATCAGTATGTATTCTGTTGGGATACCCTGTCTTCATAAATCCAGTTTTATAAATCACACATTTACGAAACTTGTTTCTATGTTTCATAAAATTTAGGAAACCTAGATGTTGAACTTTTTAATCCAGAAGTTACATAAAAATGAAAACTTTTATTAAAAACTTGTAAAACGTTTTATAAATGTGTGATTTATGAAAGTGAATTTATGAAGACAGGATAATCCATTCTTTAGCCAGTGGATAAAGTCTATGTAAAAATGTTTCCCAAACATCTCAAAAATGGATGCGAAACGAAAAAATTATTTCCAATACTCAGCCGGGATTCCAACAAAATGTTAGGCTACAAACTTGATTGCTATCATTATATGAAAAATCTAGAATGTCCATGTCCTCCAGCAGAACGGAGTTAATAATATTCGTAGATCTCGATAGCGCATTCGATCACATTATCACAAAGCCCTGCTGTTAAAGTTATTTTGTTTATGTATGCCACAACATCTATAGTTATCGGTAAAGAATTGGCTTCACAACAGATCAGTATGCATATCTTTTGGAGAATTAGAATCTAGATTATTTGATATTGAAAGAGGACTGTCTCAGAGTAGTGTTATTTCGCCTATTATTTACATATCGTATATAAAAGATTTGAAGGAGATAAATTAAGATAAGCATTCAGATAAATTTCGTTCAGACGACTGGACACTTTCTGTTCAAGTACCTCTTGGAATCTCTTACCGTGATACTTATTTTGAGTTGCAAAGATTAGGTCAGCAGGCTTTGAATCATCCCACTGGAATAAACATTTTGAAATCCTGTGTTGGCATGGAGGAGTTTGTAAAAACCCTGTTGGTATCAGGCATATCCTGCAAGTTTTTCCACCGAGCAACATCGCAGAAGAATTTTCTACACGTTGTTAAGAATATCGTGCACGTTTTCTCAGCATACTTACTGTTCAGAATTTTTCATGGAGGAATTTCGCAGGATTCTTACCACACACAACCTATAGAAACTTTTTCGTCAGGCATACATTACACATGGTACTAATCCTGCGGATGCTTTTTCTATCTGTTGTCGCTTGCATCACAAAGGTTATCTCTTCACGGTGACTTTAGAAGGCTTATAGGATTTTATTCTGGAGAAAAGAAAGGGTATTTTCTAGGAAAAATTCTGACAATGCAAGTTTTTTTCGTACGAGATCTGGTCGGATTTTCTTGGTTGGAAGAAGAAGGATTTTCTCCCCTATGTCTACCCTGTAGCATTCTGCAATCTTGTCTCATTAATGTCCGTAAAGAGTGACTGTGGAGAAACTTGACTGTATTTTTTATTTTTGAAAAGTTAAGTACTTTTGTATGTTTTTCTTGTAAAGTTATAAAAACTTTTCTCATGTCCAATAAGCTTCTGAAAAATGTATACCTTAATATTTTCACTATAACTGTTACATGTTTTTACCAAAGTTTTCAAATTCTATACCATTCAATGGAGTATTCAGAGCTAAAGAAATTTAAAATATTTTGATATCTCTGCTTTCCTATATCTATACATTTTCTTTTTTTTCAAAAAAAAAGTTAAAAGATAAAATCTGGTGAAATCTTGTGGATTAAATATGTCTGCGATGTTTCTTACCTTTACGCAGGATTTCTTTCCACGAAAACTGTAGAATCTCCTCGAAGATTTGCAGGCAAAAACTTCCCGCGTAAAGGTAATAAACATCGAGGATTTTTTGACAAACACAACCCACGGGTTTCCTACTCAAAATTCTAACGGATCCTGCGGAATTTTTAAATTTTGTTTTCAGTGGGAATATGGCGGTATATTGTCAATGTTGGTTAATTGAGTTGAGTGCTAAAAAACCTGTAACTATGCTTATACATTCACAAGTACCAGTCATAACAACTTCATTATATTACGGTTCATATAAAATCCCATTTGTCACCAGATCACGTATTTAGGTTAAACCATAACATCTAAGTTAAGTACCGGCGTATTTGTAAATGAATAATGTAGAAAGATGGCAAATTCTTTTCAAATAGTATGTACAGGGTGCCACTAAATAAACAGAACACCTACATCTATCTTGTTTTAAACGCTTTTTCTCTACAAATTTTTATTCAAAACCTAGCAAAACAACAGAAACAACTGAATAACTGCACCTCTCAAATTTCGTTTCATATTTATACTAAAAAGTAAAAATATAGTCAAATTTGTTGAGAAAAAGCGTTTAAAACAAGATAGATGTAGGTGTTCCGTTTATTTAGTGGCAGGGTGTACAGTTTTTTTTCGTCTCGGAACTTTGCCAATTCGTCTACGACGTATATGTTTTTATGCATTTATTTACCCATATTTTATATGGTTAATCCCACTTTTTTAAAATTTGTGCACGTGTAAATAGGCCGGACTAGTGCGATTGTATTTACATTATCTTCATAAAGTGTACGGTTGTTAGTACATCGATCCTCTGTTTATCAGATGAACAGACGTTTCGGGATCGCATTTACGTATATTGGTTAAAATACTGAAGTTTAGTCGGAGAGCAGTCTGATGCTTCGGCCCTGTTTCTCCTTTAGATGTCGGATCGATTTCTTCGATGAATGTTTTGAGAGTAATTTTCATAAAAACTCTTGTATTTTATTCGATTTTATAAATATCTGAAAAACGATATTCGACTAATTTTCTCCTACCCAGAATCTTTTATTTTTTAACCTTAGCGTTACTACAATATGTCACCTGTCTATGTTGTGGAATCATCGTATGAAAGTCTCAGTTACCTTCGATACCGAGTATAAGTATGTTAATAATTTGCTAATAAAGAACAACAATTTAGACGGCTTCCCTTAGTTAATAACATATACATAACTGATTGTTGTGAACGAAATAAAATATTTACTTCTGTTCTTTGTTTGTTATATAGTCCTAAACATGAAGCAGACGACTCATTATGTTATTGCAATCGACCACGTAAACTGCATCCCAATATTAATTCAGTATCACCGAAATGGAATTGTAAATCTCATACTACAACATTTAAAGCTAAAAATCAACAAGGTATATTTGATAATGGCGCACACGTAAGTGTATATTATTTCCTTTTTTGCTGAGAGCATAAACTCTCACTTTGTTGTTCGATAGTATTTGAGGTGTGATGTTCTTGCTGATCCAAAAGGACTAAAATCTATGTTATTTGAAACATGGCAAGTTAAACCAGACCCACGTTTAATTATATCTATTATTGGTGGTACAAAATATTTTAATTTAACAGATAAATTAGAAACAAAATTTATGGATGCTCTTATTAATATGGCGATCAATTCGGGTAATGTAATACACACGCTAGTAAACTGATTTTTAAGCAAAACATTTCTGGTAAAAGATTTTAACGAATAAAAAGTCGAAGGTCGCAGAATTGACAAGACGATTTACATCAATTTGTTTTTGATAAATTCATGTGTTTTGTTATTGTAGATGCTTGGTTATTAACAAACGGCTTTAATGTTGGTATTGTACAATATGTTGGACAAGCTATACATAAAAGTAAATTAACAAATGTAGATAAACCAATCGTTGCTATTGGTTTACCAGAATATGGTTGTATTAAAAACTTAAAACAATTAAAAAATCCACAAAAAGTGAGTGACTGGAATTACATTCTCATTTAATTATATTCTCAAAGTTACATTCTCATAAAAAAGAAAACGTTTTTGTGACAATACGGAAACTATCATGCAATAATTATCTTTTAGACAAGTCTACAAGCCGCATCCGATGGTTCATGTCCTACTCTCTGAAAACAAAACGTATTTTAAAAAAACAAAAGGATATTTCGTACTGTCCACTAAGCTGGCTGTGGTTTTGTATGAGACGCAAAAGACCAAAGTTGGTATCCCGACCGCTGCTAAACGGTACTCTAAGGAACCAAAGGATTTTGCATTGAAAAAGGGTATTTCACCTTTGAAAATCTCCTTAGAGCGTATTTCATTTCCATTAGGATACCAGAAAGGATTTAGTAGGTTACGAGTGACTGGTATCCTAAAGTACCAAAATGGTCTTTTTTATCAAAATAAAATACCTTTTTTTATAAAATACTAAAAGTGGTTTTGCTGGATACCAAAGGGTATTTTCATTCTTAAAATACCCTTTTTTGTTCTGTAAGATACGGATAATTTTTTCAAAATACCCAGAACGGTACTTTAAATACTGGAAATGGTATTACAGGATACCAAATTGGTTTATTGCTTTTCAAAAATCTTTTTTGGCTTTTAGGATACTAATTCTTTGCTATCACTTTCGACCCAGATTTTTTACACTTATTTTTACGCCTATTCTCATTACCAAATGACTTTCTAGCCATGAATTAACCAAATAGATGCATTTGCAAAAATGTTTGGCAGAAATTATAGTATTAACTCGTCCTTGAATTTAATTCTCTTAGATTTCTATTACAGATACTTTTTGGTTTTAAGAACTTTTGAAAGAGCTGCGCGAAGTTTTGATCTTTTCTGAGTCCCCCTTTCTTTTTGATCATTGAGAACCGATTAAATTGTGCTACGAATTTACAATGGAAGAAGAAATCTCCTCTTCGAAACGAACTTCGAAGAGACAGTACTTGGAAGAAAAAGTAACGCCTGCTTGTTTTAAGATAGTGAAAATCGTGAAAACCCGTCATATTGAAATGCGTTTTCACTATGAAATCGAACTCTAAACTCAAAAGTAATATGTGCATCAGATTCCTGGTGGTCGATACTATCTAGAAATTTACTTTTTTGTTTTCTGCATCGCTCCTGTACGCCTACTGAGGGTCACCTTTCACAAGCATTACAGCACTTATTTGATTTTTGATGGTCCTCTAAGCTACTTTTAACTATGTTTTCCCCATTTTTGTTGATCCCAGCGCACATTTTCGGACTCTACACCTCTTGAAATATATGAATCAACTGAGACCCCAATACCTTATCTCCGGTTTCTGACATATAGGTCTTTGAAAACTCGGGTTTTCCAATAATGCAGCATTTTTATGATTTTCACCATCTTAAAACAAGTACAGTAGAGCAGTGCAGCATTCTGAACTTTTTTTAAGGGAGCCATTTTATTCCTTGTTGTTTCTTGTCTCTAGTCTATATTCTGAAGCGTTCATATTTGTCGGTTTTGTCATTTCTGAGCTGATTAGGTATGAATTTGCGTCTTGGAACCTATAAAATCACCAAATGCGAGACCTCCGCAGAATCTCATGCGGATGTTTTAAAATTTTTTAAAGCACATATTCTTACTCAAAATTCAATGCTCTTTCAAATGAAATATGTCGCGATTTTTTGTGGCAAACCTTCATGTAAATGTGGAACATTTCCGAAAGAATTAGCCAAAAACTCGCATCGACGCGTATCGAGGCTCAGCAAAAAAGGATTGTCCGCTATTAGAGATTATCTGAGATGAGTATGACTTTAATAAAGAGATATTGAAAACATATTTGAAAAGTTGAAGTTTTCGAAGGAAAAGCATTGAAAATGTTCTGCTTTCACCCCAAATAGGTAAGAAATTGTGCTCTAGCCGAATATTATATTTTTGCATTCTTTACGAGACGTCTTCTGGGCAAATAAGGAGGACATTACTTACGTTACTTTCTCTTCAAATACCAGACAGTATTTCAGATTTTCCGGCCCTGTTTCTTTAATTTCAGTGCTATCTCAAATATTTTCAAACTACGTCGAAGTTCGTTTCGAAGAGGAGATTTCTTGTAGTCTTAGTCTTACAAGGGAACCTCCTGAGGTGCTAAAAACCTTTTGAATGGGACTATTTTGAAAATATAGGCCCTAATGGGCTATGAAGAACCCAACTTGGTTCGGGCGCAATCAGCTTTGTTGCTGAGATATTGAAGGTTTACTCGTGTTTTCCCCATGGGACCTATATTTCAAGCAAAAACGGAGTTTTGATTTGCAGTCCGATGAAAAAAGGTCGAACTGAAAACCTCTTTCCGCAGCGATGAAGAACTTTTTCAAAACTTGCTCCATGTTTTACCTTTGGTACCCATATGGAAAAGTTCTTTCACCGCTGCGGAAAGAGGTTTAGCTCACCTCAGCCTTTTATCATCGGACTGCAATTGGTCTGGGCTACACTATGTGATGCGTTACAACATGAAATTCAAAACTCCGTTTTTGCTTGAAATACAGGTCCCATAGGGAAAACTCTAGTAAAACTTCGATATCTCAGCAACAAAGCTGATTGCGCCCGAACCAAGTTGGGTTCTTCATAGCCCATAAGAGCCTACATTTTCAAAATAGTTCCATTCAAAAGGTTTTTAGCACCTTAGGAGGTTCTCTCGTTAGTCTTCTTTCACTCTGTGTACCATTGGAAATGGTTTGACTAAAGAGAATAAAACCAAGGAATCATTCACATTAACCTCTTAAAGCTTGACAAAAGTGAGTTCATTAAAGAAAAGGTTTTTGCATGATGTACAAAGAAAAAATTGCTGAACTACTTCCTTTCTCACCCCTTTCGTCCTTTGGGGATCGTTCTCTCAGTTTACTGGGCTTTGATTTGATCATCGCGATCTAGATCCTGCTTCTTCTGCTGTCGCTCACTCCATTAAGACGCAAAACACGTATAAGGGCCTTCAAAAAACGAAATATCTTCATTTTCGAGCGAGTTCCCTTTAAATTTACACTCTGAATTTTGAGAGATATATGAAGTGCTTTTAGCTATACTTTGGTACTACCTTCTATCCTATGTCACCCGCGAAGCAGGGAGGACAAACCACAGAAGACTCTTCGGAATGTCCTTCACGTATGAGCAAGAAATACCCGTAAACATATCCTAGAAAACGAAAAGAAGGTGTTCTAAGATACGAAAAGTGGTTCTTATTAGTAAAAAATGCAGATACCCTTTTTTTGGTTTTGTAGAATAAGTCTGATCACACATTTTTCCTTCACACTGGGACATTCTGTCCTACTTCATTAGCATTGTTTTACACATGTGCTAGCGGTTAGATAGAGAAGTGAGAGTACAAATTGACCGGAGAACACCATCAGCTAAAACCAAATACACAGTGCGATTCGGCTTACAAAGACAAATCGATTGATGTATAATAAGTCTCACTTTGATTAAATATATAACGAAATCTCTGATTTAATGCCAGTGTATATGTTGCCATAGTTGTTGAATAAATAGCAAACGGTCAAACCTTTTCAGCTGAATATATTTTAAAGCTGGAACTTCTGAATATTGAAAAAGGGTAAAAGTAGCAAGTCGAACGGACTCAAATGTTACGAGTTATTAATAAAACAAAAGTAACAGTGTTAGTCTACATTTTGTGGAAAACTTACGATATTTTCAAAAAAATGCTTCAGAATTTTCATACTATCAGAAAATTGTTGCTATACGATACTGCGCTGAGGGGTGCCTTGCGATGCTAAGAAAGAGAAAAATTGCCTTTTCCCGCTTGCATGTTGCACATGTAGATAGTTCTGTTAAAAAGCAAAGAGAGTTAGTAAAAAAAGTT